GCTGATCTCCTCTGCTGCAGTGACAGACTCTGCTGTGTACTACTGCGCTCTGCGGCCCACAGTGACAGGAAACACCAGAACCCTGAACAAAAACCTGCAGTACTGCACAGCAGCCACTAGAGGGCCTCACTCTGTTAACCCACTAAAACCTGCAGTACTGCACAGCAGCCACTAGAGGGCCTCACTCTCTGTTAACCCACTAAAACCTGCAGTACTGCACAGCAGCCACTAGAGGGCCTCACTCCCTGTTAAGCCACTAAAACCTGCAGTACTGCACAGCAGCCACTAGAGGCCTCACTCCCTGTTAACCCACTAAAACCTGCAGTACTGCACAAAAGCCACTAGAGGGCCTCACTCCCTGTTAAACCACTAAAACCTGCAGTACTGCACAGCAGCCACTAGAGGGCCTCACTCCCACTGGTTGTTGAGTCGTTGGACTGAAGACAAAGACAACAGAGACATGAAGCAGCAAAGATCAGAGACGGAGCTGCTGAGGAAGCAGAAAACTCTCTGATTGGTTGAGTTGTAGTGGCCCCGCCCACTGACCTTCAGCTCCTCCATCATTTGTTCTTCCTTCATTGTTGATCTGCTGTGTGGCTCTCAGGACTCCAGACATGTTGCTCTCCCTCCTGTTGCTTCTGTCTCTCAGTAGAGGTCAGTTTAAGGTCAGGGATTCTGGTTCAGTCCAGCAGGAGACAACATGTGGGTCTGCTGTCCTGCACTGGGCCAGACGTCGTTCTGACCTTCAGGCTCCTGTTTGTCCTCTAGAAACAACATGGTTCCTGATCCTGGATCAGCAGCATCGTCTTCCTCCAGTGAGCTGAGCATCAGAGAGCTGACCCGGCAGACGCGGCTCTCTGCTACTGCGCTCTGGAAACACAGTGATACAAAGTGGAGAAGAGGCTGTACAAAAACCTGAACACAGATATCTGACTCCTCTTCAAAGAGGAGGGAAGTGGTATTCACAGCTCAGCGTCATATCAGATGGATTCTGATCATCCTGCTTGATCAGAGTCGCTGTGGTTGCAGCTGCTAATCACTGACAGGCAGAATAAAGACGCCAGTAGAAATGCTACTTCCTCATTCTCACCTTATTTCATTCTGCTGCAGGAATGAAATAAGACCATATGAAGTAATACAGCGTTAGCTTAGTTCACTTATTCCTGTTGGTAGTTGGATTCGGATCGATCAGTGTTTTCAAATTCATGGTGCAGCATCCATGAAAATTCAAGATTTTGGTCATTTTTATTTTGTTAACTTTTGATCAAGTTGACCAAGTTTGAAGTTATTATCTCAGAACAACTTGGACGCAGCTGAACATTGACGAAGCAACGCTGTGTTTAGGGCGTTCTTCCAAGAGATTTATTTCTTGTTCATGGAGGTTCTGTCTAAGCTCCCATTTCAGCTCTATGATCAGTTGGCCTGCTTCACCTTAGGGGGCGCTGTAGAGTTTTTGGCCACGCCTATTTTGAATTCTATTAAAATGCAAACATTTCATTTGGGGTAAATTTAGGTGATTTTTGCTTTTGTTCAGGCTTCCAAATTAGTGTTTCTTTTATGTCAAGAAAAATGAACATTTGAATTAAAATAGACCTTCACAGCACTTTCACTGGTTTAGTCTAAATATGAATATAATCTATGTGTAGCAAGTATGCAAAAAAACTTGTTTATATTTCATCCCAAATCCATTTTCATTATCTATGTATATTTGTTTTTCTTGGATTTTGAGTTGTAATTTTATTTTGGTAAAGAAGCTTTTATTTTCTTGTTTCCTGTTTATTTTCTTGTTTCCTGTTTTTGCGTCACATCCTGCGTGTTCGCGCTACTCTCCTCAGTTCGCGCCGAACTGCGCTGGGGAGAGGTGAGTGCACAGAGCCGTCATCAGTTTGTTTATGAAAACATTCCAGATATTCTAAGAAAAGCATGTTGCTAATTTAATATATCTTATATATTGTTTTTGTACTGTTTTATGTTGGTGCAGTACTGTATTGGGTGTCTGATTCCCACCATTCCGACATTTGTTGAGTTTACCAAGGCAACCTGGTTAATTTGTTTTTTTGATCGTTTAAGGTGTGTGCTGTATGTGGGAAAGTCGGAGCCCAGAATGCTGCACTGATTTATTTTTGTTTTAAAACAGGTATGTGAGTTTCTTCAAAGTGTTATCTGGATGTTAGAGTAATGTAATTAATATGTTTTCATATATATCTTTTATTGATTCAATTTGAACTGTGGGAGTGGCGACTGTTGGGCAGGTGATTTGTTTGTTTTTGTTGATTGTTTAGATATTAAACAATGTTAGTGAACCTCTGATGGAATTCTGTGTGAGTTCGCGCCGAACTGCGCTGGGGAGAGGTGTGTGCTGTATGTGGGAAAGTCGGAGCCCAGATTGCTGCACTGATTTATTTTTGTTTTAAAACAGAATAAACCTGCTAGACATCCCGAGTCCTCGTCTGCTGGTCCCTTTTATTACACAACGCAGAGTTCAAGTCGGCTACATATGCTATACATGAAAATAGTTAGAGAAAAGTGATATTGCACCGTGTGGTAGGAAGACATGGTACTGCACAACGCCAGTATTGTAGAAATATAACAGAGTGATGCATCTGTTTTAACAATCTATCGTTGCTGGTTGCAGATGTCATGCAGACTGACTGCAGCTGGAATGTAGGACCTGCTGTTCCTTTCTTTCCTGCACCGTTGGCGGCTCAATCTGCTGCCTGAAGGCCCCACAGCCTCAATCAGGGTGAGAAGAGTCGATCATAACTGCTTCAGTTTAGCTAAAGTCTCAATGGAGTCCAGACAGCAGTTCAGACTGAGCCAGCTCCCACAAGCATAGAAAGTCCTCACTAATGTCCTGAACTCAATAAATGTCCTCAGCAGGTAGAGATGACCAGACAGCAGTGTTATGTGAGCAGTTTGTTATTGGGCTGTACGCCCAGATGCTCACTGGTACAATCTGAGAAGGCCTCCTCCTGCAATCAGTCACCACCTCCTTGTCTTGCTGACATCGATGTGCAGAAGGTTCAGTTCACACCAAGCAGCAAATATAGAGATAACCTCTCCTGACACGCGTCCAGCAATGGCCGATGTCAAGTTCTTGATGACGTCTGATGTGTGAAAAGGAAAGGAGAGGGCAGTGAACCTGTGGATTCCCCATGCTGCAGTGGCAGAGCCTCTCATCCTGTGGTCCAGCAGTGAAGTTCATGCTGCCAGGTGGCAGCTGAGTCCAGTTCCTGAGCAGTGAAGGACGGGTTGAGTGACCGGTGCAGCAGGTCGACGCCAGCCAGCATCAAGGCCACCAACGAACTGGTGGACTGCAGGGGATGCACCACATTTTCTCCAGAAGATGGACACAAACACAAAGTTAATGCAGAGGATTCTTTCAGTTCAGTCACTGACAAGGAATTCATTTAAACTTTAGGTCTTTTCCATCTGCAGAGGCTCACCTGTCCTCATGCTCACTGCTATGTGCTACAGAGGACTGATCTGCTGCAGCAGCTGCTGGACCTGAGGGTCATGATGCTAATCTCATTTATGAGGAAAAGCTTTTCTCTGCTCTTTCATCTCCCTGCATCAGTTTGAGCAATCCTGAAGTCTTCGACCGCGCAGCTGGGATCAAGACCAAGTCGCTTGATGAACCAACTTCTCCTTTAACATCTTGAGATTCAGTTTTATATGATAAAGCGATGCATCAACAGCACTGCAATGGTTGTTCAGGCCACAGGATGACATAACTGGTTCCTGTGGATAATGCAGCACATTATCCACCAGCATTCTGCAGAAACTGATGATTTCTCAGACTCCTGTCACCCAAACTGGCACTGAGGGAAGACTTTGTATCCCTCACAGACATCTGAGCACTCAGCTCTTAAATTCATTTTCTTCTTCTATTACCACATTATAACAATGTGGAAATATAAATAGCCCATGTCAAACACTGTTAACATGTGGAGGTCACAACTCTAAATGAGCATCGCTGACATTTCATTCTACAAATGTAATATTTCTCTTGATCTGTGTATAATTTTAAATCCAACTTCCTGTCAGTGAGTTATTTACTCAGTGCATTGTGGGTCATGTCCACTGGATGATCCGATAAAATGAGCAACAGCTGGACAATCTTTGAATTGAACAATAAAAGGGCCAAAAGGTCAAATGTTGTCACCAGTCATAAAGTCTCAAGTCATGTGGTAGCGTGTTATTGACATGTTGGATGCAGGGACGTCCACCAGAACAGCAGCTGCACGGCTCAGTGTCCGTTATCGGACCACCGGCCCTTTAAGAGCCGGTTTCCAACAAATGACTCCACAGCAGATCCTCCTCATCCTCTCCGATGCTCCAGCACCAGATGTCCACATCGGCTCGTCCACCAGAGGACGGGCTCAGAGCAGCGACACGCAGCCGATGAGACTATTGGTCTGAGCAACAGACGCATCAGAGCTCAGACTGTAACCGCCTACAGGAAGCCCACTGGGTCAGAACCAGACTCCTCAGCCTCCATCATGTTCAAAGGTCCGTTAAGCTGCTACAAACGGCCGAACCGTGATGTCATCAATATGAAGATCAATAATTACTGAAAATATACTCTGAGTTTCTCTATGTATGTGTTCATAAAACTCTTACATTTGACCCGGGGCTTTATATTCTTGTTCAGCGTATTTATCTTTTTTAAAATTACTTAAAATTGGAAACTAAGAAAAAAGTATTCAAACGTCTTTCTGTGAAGCTCAAAACTGGCCATCTTTGAAATGTTTCTACCAAGTAGATGGAGCTCATCTGAGGTAAATTGATCTGATTATTAGCTGGAGCCTCGTCTCCTCTCTGCTGGACTCCACCTCTCCTCTCCACCAGAGGGCGCCATGCTCCAGTAGGCGGCGCTCTCCTTGTGCTCTGTGCTCCAGCATTGTGTCAATAAGAAGTGGTGCTGTGAAGAGAACAATAGTCAGACTGAATGTTGAACATCAGCTGCTTTTCCTGCTGATTTAAACCTTGTTGGACAGATGGAACATTGGCTGTGGATTATTCTGGCTGCTCTTTTCTCTGGTAAGATACAAAGATGTTTCCTCTACATGGAGTCTTTAAAGCTGCTGATTGTTCTCCTTTAATCAATCATCTTTATTGATCCGTCTCTTCCTCTGCATGTTCTGTTCTTCCCAGAGTGTAAAGGAGACTCAGTGAAGCAGACAGGAGGAGAAGTTGCTGCTGCAGCAGGAGAATCACTGACTCTGGGATGTACCTTTGAGACCAGTGATACATATCCATATCTGTTCTGGTACAGACAAGAAGGAAACAGTTTACCAAAGTACATGCTGAAGCAGCGATTATCAGCCAAAGAGAAAGCTCCAGAGTTCAACAGCAGCAGATTTGATGCAGACCTCAATAAAACCAACAAGACATTCAACCTGACGATCCAGGATCTCCGTCTGTCAGACTCTGCTGTGTACTACTGCGCTCTGCAGCCCACAGTGACAGGAAACACCAGAACCCTGAACAAAAACCTGCAGTACTGCACAGCAGCCACTAGAGGGCCTCCAACAGTGTGTCTTTCATTCATTGGTTTTCACATATTAATAATACATTAAATTAGAACTACCAGCACAGCAAGAGACACAAATTAAAATCACACTAGTCAATGCAGAACGATCAGGCGATCAGTTAGTGATCAGTTTTACAACGATGAGTAGAAGCGACAGTGAAATGAAGAGAGGAGGAAGTTGTAAGGCTGCAGGAGGAAGTAGAAATATGAAGGACTTCAGAAAGTGAAGGAGCAGAAAGGTTAGAATTAAGTTTGGATCTATGCAGGAGATTTTGATCTGAATTCTGAATTTAACCAGAATGAGGCTGATGAGCTGACCAGGCTGTGGAGCTTTTCCCCAAACTGAGTCAACTGTGTGTTGAAACTGTGTCACTCACAGTGACATCTGCAGGATTTAAAAAGTAATTGCAGGCAAATTCAATAAAGACTGGAAAAGTGACTGAACAAGATTCATTCACGTTTTATTTTGAAACATCAGCTCCTAGCACAACTTCAGGCTGAGACGATTGTTCGTTTACAAACCATTTCCTTGTAATTACATGGAGTGATTTGCAAAAGCATTTAATACAAACTAGAAAGTGTGCATTTCCTATGAAAATGCAACTGCAAATGTGAATGCTGTATGCTCAAAGCTGAATGCTCAAAGCTTTTGGTGAAAATGATAAAAGCGTTTGAAGCCGCCTGCTGGAGAAAGGTAAGAAATCGTCCATGCAGTGTGAAAACCCCAGGTACAAGCCAAAATGAGATAAAATAGCATCTAGGATAGCACTAGCATGCTGGGCTAAAGTTATATATTCCATGCAATGTAAACAAACAAACAAAAAACTTATGTAAATGATGACTTTTTTCAAATTATTCCCAGGAATCAAACAGCATCAAAGCTGTTAAACTGCCCAACTTCAAAATGGCCTCTGCTTTGTTTCCTCCACTGGATGATTGATTGCAATTAGCAGGCAGGACCTGAAACATCCACTGTAAAACACAACACACATTTTATGTTGTAATTCTCAAGAATTCATAAAAAGTTGAATATTATAAAAAGTATGGAGGTTATGAATACCAAGAGATACAGCTGGCATCAGGAGACCAAGCTGAATGGTATAAAAGTTGAATGGTGAAAATAGCACAAACTGTGCAGGAGAAGAAGTTTGACACTAACAGACATAATTAGCAAACATGACAAATCTGAACTGTTCAATCTCCTGCTTTCTGGAAACTCCAGGATCTATCGCAGAGTTAACCAGTTCATTGCTGATTCTTCATTCAGTGAAGGAATGAAACCTGTAGAGGAGAGTGTGAGTGATGCCAGATGGAGGCCAGTGTGGAGAAGGACAGAGGGTCAAAGGTCACACTGAGATCAGATGGCAGGAAGATCAATGGGAACCAGACTGGAATTGTTCATGGAGGTTATTGAGTTACATTTGAAGTTCAGAGACGACTCTCTGATTAGTTTGGAGATAAATTAGAGATGTGGTTAAGATTATTTTAATTGTTGGGATCTTTAGTTTCTACAGTATTTCCAGTAATGGCAGCATTTTAAAAAGGTCAGTTCCAGAGGAAAGTAAGGAGTGAATGATGACAGCAATGAAGAACCTGGAGGTTGGAAGTTGGGATGGTGGGATTGGATCAAGTATGTCAGCAGAGGATTTACACTCATGGATGATGCCAGACAGATTGGAGATGAAAATGGCTGATAAAGAAGATTTTCACCCTACAATCACTGATTCATCCATTCACTCACACCCTGTTGGTGTGAGCTATTGAATAGTAGCCACAGCTGCTCTGGAAGCCTGTCAGAGGACTCAAACCAGCAACCCATTGATTACTGGATGAACTCGCTCCACCATTTAAACCATGGAGATGAAGAAGGGAGGCGACTGTTACAGAAACAAGTGATGTTCTCACTCTGTGTAACACGGTCAGGAAAAGACTATCAGCTGCTTTCTGCAGAGCTTTGCTGTTGGTTTCTCTTAAAGTCCAAATCAATCACTAGCAACTGACTTTTCTAATTTTAACTTTGACCAGCGAATGTATGAGCAGGTGTTTGTCTCTGTGATGGATCGCCTCCCATTTATGATCAAACAGAAAATGCAAACACATCCTCCCCATTTGCAACAGAAATCTCCTCACTGGCTGAACCTTCTCAAACTGGTTCCTAAACTGGAAGGATCACCAAAAAGCTGGATCTTAAACAATCAGAGTCGCTGAAACCTGATCACCAGAACCAGTCTCAGATGTTTCTGGTTCGCTGCAGCACCGACTCACTAACTTCAGCTGGTTTCTCAGTCAGAAATCTCCTCACTGGCTGAACCTTCAGCAACAACCAGTTTCTCTCTGGCTCCTCCCACCACTGCTGAGCTCAGCCAATGAGAAGGCTCGTCTGCAGAGCTAAAAGCAGCTTGATGATGACGATGAAGGTCTGTTAGTCTTCCTTGCTGCAGTGGATCATCTCTGTTGATCTCATGTCTGACCTGAACTCCTGGAACATGTTGCTTCACCTCCTGCTCTTCTCTCTCTGCATCGGTGAGTATCAGAACCGAGAGAAGCTCTGATCTTCTCTCTGGATCTCACTGCGACCACATGTGGATGGAAGAGCCTCTGAGTCTCCTGACGCCTGAATCTGCTGCAGACTGACTGACATGAACCATCATTTTACAGCCATGGGCTCCATGAACACCGTCACACAGGAGCAGAGGGAACACGCCGCTTCAGAGGGAAAACCCACCAGTTTGAGCTGCGACTATACTGGTTCCATCTATAATGTCCAGTGGTATCGACAGCGGCAGAGATCCAGACCAGAGTTCCTGCTCTCCATCACAGAGTCGGGATCGATCCATCCAACTCGCTCCAATTTCTCCGCTCACATCGATAAAACTCAGAAACAAGCAAATCTGCTGATCTCCTCTGCTGCAGTGACAGACTCTGCTGTGTACTACTGCGCCGTGTCGCCCACAGTGACAGGAAACACCGGAACCCTGTACAAAAACCTGCAGTACTGCACAGCAGCCACTAGAGGGCCTCACTCCCTGTTAATCCACAAAAACCTGCAGTACTGCACAGCAGCCACTAGAGGGCCTCACTCCCTGTTAATCCACAAAAACCTGCAGTACTGCACAGCAGCCACTAGAGGGCCTCACTCCCTGATAATCCACTGGTTGTTGAGTCTTTGGACTGAAGACAAAGTCATGAAGCAGGAAAGATAGGACAGCTGCTGCTGTGGAGGCAGAAAACTGTGATAATTCTGTAATTATGTTTCATTTTGTTGACATAAATATTAGTTATTAGTTCAGGTTACCATTTCTTCAAACGGACTGAGGTTTGATCCATCAAGCAGGATGATGAATGTAGAGCGAAATCCTCTGGTTCTCTGGACCTGATAAAGCGTTATCGAAGTTTAGCTCCACCTGCTGGTAAGAAGTTTGTCTTAAACAGAGAATGACCCGGTAGCTTTTATCTTTGAGTCTTTCTGAAATTAATCACCAGATGTAGTTTGGCTGTGATTGGTTGATACATGAATCCAAATAAAACATACAAGAACTATATCCACAGTGATATACAGATTATTTAAAATTGAGTCATGATGAAATGATGCAAAGTTGAATTTACAGCATCAGCATGCAGAGCCTGCTGCAAGGAGGATTTCTCCCCTTTCGTGAGGAGCTCTTCTCAGTGTGATCTGTAAATCAGCTTTTTTGATTGAATTAAAATTGTGAAAAAAATCTTTATTTTTAAATTTTAGAAAGTCTATTTTCTCAGATAACATCACTGGGTGATGAAATGGGCCCTGATCAAATGCTGCAGTCGTTTTCTCCACAGAAATACAGTCTGACAAGAAAACCTGTTCATATGAACTCTTTAAACTCTGTCTTTACGTTTATACATATTGCTTCCTCTGCAATGCTAAGAAATACAAATACAATGTAACTGGGTTAGGATATACTTATTTCCATACTTATTGAGGAAATTGAGGCTCATTGAGGAAAACCGGTGAGAGAGAGAGGAGGAGCCACACTGGAAAGTTTCAGTTCCAGTTTCCAGAAATGAAAGTAAAATGAGTGAAGAACAGCAGAGCTGCAGTCGAGACTAATTTCTCTGTCTGTGTTCATTTCTTCCTTCTCAGTAACTGCCCCAGACAGCGGTGAGTACAGATGATAATATTCACTGTTTCAATCAGCAGCAATCTGGGAATAATCTTCTCATTGCTTTCAGAAACTCAGATTTTAATCTAATATTTATTTTCCATGTGTTGTTCTTAACCAACATGTTGGTTTAGGATTTTATTCCAACTAAAAATAAAGAATTATGCCATCAGCAGTTCAAATGTCAGTTTAATTTATCTTCAGCTGATGGAATAAGGAAGTGATGTGAGCGGCTCACAAGAAGAAAAGGTTAAGAGGTCAAGCTAAGGGCTTACTGTGTGGCTGGAGAGGAGCAGTGAGGGTACCTGGAGTACCTGTGCAGGTGTCTAACCTGTTCAATAACATCAGAGAAAGAGAAAACAATGGAGAAGAAGTGAGCTGGTGCCAATTATCAAGAGCAAGGAAGATGCACAGAGTCCTCAGCCAGACTCAGGTTGACATCGGTGAGCAACCGTCGCGTTTCATGTCAAGAAAATGTTCTACAGATGCAATCTTTGCTTTGCACATGTTGATAGAGAAGTCCAGAGAACGTCAGAGGAGCTGCATTGTGTTTTTATAGATCTAGAAATGACAGAATTGCTAGAGAGGAACTGTGGTTCTGCATGAGGAAGTCTGGAGTAGGAGAGAAACATGATGGAGTGGTAAAGGATGTGGATGTGAGACTGTGGTGAGGTGTGCTGTCGGAGGGACAGAGGAGTTCAGAGTGGCAGTGAAACCTCCACTTTGGCTCTGAGCCTTTCCTGTTTGCTGTGGTGATGGACAGGTTGATGAAGGAATCTCCATGGACTGTGATGTTTGCAGATGATGTTGTGATCTGAGGTGAGAGATAGAGAGGAGTGAAGGTGAGATGTATGAAGACAGAACGAGAGGGACTCAGGTGGAGATGAGTCTCTGCTGCGACCCTGACAGGGAAAAGCCAAAAGGAAAAGAAGAAAGCAGATTGAGCTTCAGTTGAAAACAGGAAGACTCCTCCCAGTTTAAAGTTTACAGAAAGACTCTCCCTGTTGGAATAATCACAGTAAATAATTCTGATGAGATAAAATGTTATTTTATGATAAATCAGAGCAAAGTCCAGCGGGAGGCACTGCCACCTGTCCAGGTTCTTACGGACTGTACTTCCTGTTTATGCAAATCATTTTACTGGTACTGACAGACGCCAGTCATAGAAATCATATCAGAGTTATTGCTCCGAGTTTAATTATTAAAAAACAAAAACAAAACAAAAGTCCAAAGACTGTGATTTATAAAAACAGGGAAAAGAAGTCAGACCAGCCTACTAAGAGTCTAAAGAACTAAAATAGTCCACAAATTATTGTCATTTTAGAATCGCCTTTAACAAAATAATTCATTTTCTGGAATTTTCAGAAAGATAATTTCCAGAGAAATCATCTTTCCTCTCTTTTGGCATGATGGCTTAAGGATTGAATCTCTGCTTTTTGCGGATGATGTGGTCCTGTTGGCTTCACCAGGTCGTGACCTACAGCTTCCACTGGGGCAGTAAACAGCCGAGTGGGAAGCGCCCAGGATGAGGATCAGTGCCTCCAGAGCTGAGGCCGTGGTCTGGAGCCGGAAAAGGAAGAGTGCTTCTCCGGGTCGGGGGATGTCCTGCTCCAAGATGAGGAGTTCAAGTATCGCAGGATCTTGTTCATAAATGGGGGAAACATGGAGCGGAAGATTAACCGGCGGATTGGCCTGGCTCTATTTGTCGGTTGATCTACATTACTACCCTGATCTATGATCATGAGCTTTGGGCCATTTCTGAAAGAACAAGGTCACGGATACAAGCGGCTGAAATGCGTTTCCTCTGTCTGGGCTCCCTGAGAGAGAAGCTCAGTCATCTGGGAGGGACTCAGAGTAGAGCTGCTGCTCCTCCACATGGAGAGGAGCCAGTTGAGGGGTACCTGGTTAGGATGGAGGCTCCCTGGTAAAGAGTTTATGTCCCACTAGGAGGAGGCCCAGAGGAAAACCTCAGACACACTGCAGGGACGATGTTTCTCTGCTGGTCTGGGATCGGCTTGAGATTCCCCTGGAAGAGCTGGGAGAGAGAAGTGTGGACCTCTCTGTTACTCCTGCTGAAATCCCCCTTCATGGAACCTGATCAGAACATCTCAGACCTCCCGATCAGATCATCTGCTAATCACTGATCTGTGTCTCCTGTCCTCAGGTTCAGACATGTCTTCTGGCAGCAGCCCGCGGTCTGAGGATCAGTTTCTCTGCTCCATCTGTCTGGATGTGTTCACTGATCCAGTCAGCACACCATGCGGACACAACTTCTGCAAGACCTGCATCACCCAGCACTGGGACGGAGACGGCCCCTACAAATGTCCTCTGTGTAATGAAGGTTTCACCTGCAGACCTCAGCTGAGAGTCAACACCTTCATCAAAGAGATGGTTGATCAGTTCAGACATGAAGCTCAGCAGGGAGCCAGCAGCAGCAGCTCGGAGCAACAAGCTGCTAAACCAGGAGAAGTTCCCTGTGACGTCTGCACTGGACCCAAACTGAAGGCCCTGAAGTCCTGCATGGTGTGTCTGACCTCCTACTGCCAGACTCACCTGGAGCCTCACCTGGCCGCTCCACGTCTGAAGAAACACCAGCTGATGGAGCCCATGGAGAACCTGGAGGACAGGATGTGTCTGCAGCACGATAAACCTCTGGAGCTGTTCTGCAGGACCGACCAGACATGCGTCTGCTCACTCTGCTCTGTTTCAGACCACAAGAACCACCAGCTGGTTCCTCTGGGAGAAGAATCTGAAGGAAAGAAGGCAAAGCTGAGGAAGACGGAGGCTGAAGTTCAGGAGACGATCCAGGAGAGACGACTGAAGATCCAGGAGATCAGAGAGTTGCTGAAGATCAGTAGAGATGCTGCAGACAGAGAGAAAGCAGAAGCTGTTCAGGTCTTCACGGCCTGATGGAGTCTGCTGAGAGACGCCTGAAGGAGCTCCTCAAGGAGATCCAAGACAAACAGGAAACTACAGAGAAAGAGGCTGAAGGCTTCATCACAGACCTGGAACAGGAGATCTCTGAGCTGGAGAAGAGGAGCTCTGAGCTGAAGCAGCTCTCACAGGATGAAGATCACCTCCACCTCCTGCAGAGCTTCTCCTATCTGACAGATCCTCCACCTGTCAAGCACTGTGTAGAGGTCAGAGTTCATCCACCATCATATGAGGGCACTGTGGTGAGAGCTGTGGCTCTGGTTGAGGAAGACTTCAGGCAGAAGATTAGCAAGTTGCTAGCAGAAGAGCTGAAGAGGGTCCAGCAGTTTGCAGTGGATGTGACTCTGGATCCTGATGCGGCTCATCCTAACCTCATCCTGTCTGGTGATGGAAAACAGGCCAAACATGGAGATGTGAAGAAGAATCTTCCAGACAATCCACAGAGGTTTTCTCACTGTGTTTCTGTTTTAGGACAGCAGAGTTTCTCCTCAGGCAGATTTTACTTTGAGGTTCAGGTTAAAGGAAAGACTGACTGGGATTTAGGAGTGGTTAGAGAATCTGTTGACAGGAAGGGAACCATCAACCTCAGTCCTCAGAAAGGTTTCTGGACTTTCTGGTTGAGAAATGGATATGAGTACAAAGTTGGTGCTGGACCTTCAGTCCGTCTGCATCTCCATCCTGGTCCAGAGAAGGTGGGGTGTTTGTGGATTATGAGGAGGGTCTGGTCTCCTTCTATGATGTAGATGCTGTAGATGTGATTTACTCCTTTACTGGCTGCTGCTTCAAGGAGAAACTCTACCCGTTCTTCAGTCCTGGTCTTAGTGATGGAGGTAAAAACTCATCTGCCCTGATCATCTGTCCTGTTCATCAGACTCATTGATCTGCTGAATCTTGAGAGGTGAGCTGGAAACATCCTCTGCAGGAATTCAACAGTTCTGATCATTTTCTGCAGCTCGTTCTGATTCTGTGTTTCTGCAGGTTTTATCTTCTCCCTTCAGCTTCTAAAATCACCAGCTCATTATTTCTTCTTGGATTTTTTCATGTAACTATTTGAAAGTGTGTCTGAGTTTGAATCTTCTCTTTGTAATCTCCACTGTGACCTTGATGATGAGATGCTGATAACTGATCGCTGCGTTCAGAAAGTTTAATCTGGAGACTAAAGTGACTTTAGACACTAAACTACTAGTTAGTGTCTTAGTAGATAGAAGAACTGCTTCCTTCTAATGATCATTCTGATGTATAGAAAGAAAACCTTTAAGACTTTATAAGACTAATGTGATCAGAGTTGTAGTTCTAAAAGTTTTGGATCTGAAATAAAACGCCATATAATCCAACTGGAGTTTGTTTCATCTTAATCCTGGAAGTTTGCAGTTTTAGAATCTTTAAAATGCAGATCGAGCAGCAACTCTGGGAAAAAGGTGCCAAATCATTTTGGATCATTGACTTTTCAGTTTGCGTGTCAAATGGACATTCAAGGCTCCAAACACTGTCCAACTCTTGGGACCTAAAGGGGATGCTGGAGCTCCAGTTTACTCAAATGGGCTGACTGGGCAACATCTGCCAGCATTCATTGCTCTGGAAGCCATATTTGTAGATTTGACAATAAAAGCCATTTCTGCAGAGGTAAGGGTTTCTTTTGGAGACGACCTCCAATGAAGACGTCGGTGTGAAACTTGTTCTTTCACGTTTTGGACAGAAAAGGGACATTAAGACCTTGAAAGAATAACTTGATCAACTTTATTGCTGTTTGTGCTTCTGCCGTTTCTCAGTTCCCTAATGGTCCAACGGAGACACCTGGACCACCTGTCCCTCCATGTCCAGCATGTCATGGAAGATCATTTGCAGCGGCGTCTGCATAGTTGACGTTGCATCGCAGCAATCGTCCAGCGGTTGGAGCCATTGGCCTGTTCTCCTGGACATTAGTCCCGACCTGAATGGGAGACGGATCGCCTCAAACAGGACGGGACTTTCTTTGAGTGTCTTGGCAGAAAGAAATCAGTCTGAAAATAGTGATTCCACCAGATATTGTTTCATATGTTGCTGAGTGTATGCCCATCAGGAGTCAGCATGCCAGTGGCCGACTTCCTGAAAACCTGCAGCATCTGTGAGATGGTGCTGTGGGAAAACAACACATTTCACAGTGGCCTTTTATTGCCTTTTATTGCACAACATGTGCAATAATCATGCTGTCTAATCAGCATCTTGATATGCCACACCTGTGAGGTGGGAGGGATTATCTGCAAAGGAGGAGACACATTTGTTGACAATATTTGAGACAAACAGTTATTTTGTGTTTGTGAAAATGTTTTAGTTCAGCTGATGAATAATGGTAGCAAAAACAAAATGTTGCATTTAGATTTGAGAAAAAGAACCATGTGATCAGGAGAAACACATCAGAAGACCAAACGATTCCCACTGTTCAGTGAATTGAAGAAGCCCTGCTGACAGAACTGAAAGTTTGAGGAAGATGTCACCACATCTCTGGGTCACGTTTCCTCTGTCGTCACAATCGTTCTCAACACAGGAAGAATAAAAAGCACCAATTTGTTTTGGCAACATTTTTCACTTCCTTTAGTATTTAACTGTGAAAAACTCACTGCAATCCAGGATGAAGAGTCCAGTTGAGAAGCTGATCACTTCTGCTGACAATATCCAGTAGATCCAGTAGATCCAGTAGAACCAGTTCCTACTGAACATCTGCCCAGCTGATGAAGCCTCGTCTCCTCTCTGCTGGACTCCACCTCTCCTCTCCACCAGAGGGCGCCATGCTCCAGTAGGCGGCGCTCTCCTTGTGCTCTGTGCTCCAGCATTGTGTCAATAAGAAGTGGTGCTGTGAAGAGAACAATAGTCAGACTGAATGTTGAACATCAGCTGCTTTCTCCTGCTGATTTAAACCTTGTTGGACAGATGGAACATTGGCTGTGGATTATTCTGGCTGCTCTTTTCTCTGGTAAGATACAAAGATGTTTCCTCTACATGGAGTCTTTAAAGCTGCTGATTGTTCTCCTTTAATCAATCATCTTTATTGATCCGTCTCTTCCTCTGCATGTTCTGTTCTTCCCAGAGTGTAAAGGAGACTCAGTGAAGCAGACAGGAGGAGAAGTTGCTGCTGCAGCAGGAGAATCACTGACTCTGGGATGTACTTATGACAGCAGTGTGAGTGTCACATTGTTCTGGTACAGGCAAGAAGAGAACAGCTTCCCAAAGTACATGCTGAAGCAGCTGTCATCAACAAAATATAAAGATCCAGAGTTCAACAACAGATTTGATGCTGACTTCAATAAAGAAAAGAAATCCTTTAATCTGACGATCCAGGATTTCCGTCTGTCAGACTCTGCTGTGTACTACTGCGCTCTGCAGCCCACAGTGACAGGAAACACCAGAACCCTGAACAAAAACCTGCAGTACTGCACAGCAGCCACTAGGGGGCCTCACTCCCTGTTAATCCACTAAAACCTGCAGTACTGCACAGCAGCCACTAGAGGGCCTCACTCCCTGTTAATCCACTAAAACCTGCAGTACTGCACAGCGGTAACTAGAGGAATGTTTGAAAGAATATTTAAGCATTTACTTACTAACATACATGTTGATTTTGGCAGTAATTAGTCTTTATGGAAAAAGTATAAATAAATGTGTTACTATATAGCTTATTATATTTAAAACATTCTTAATTAAGAATGTTTTCAAAGTTAATAAACTTTTGATTAATGGTTAAATAATGGTAAATAAGGTTTAGTTATTATGAGTTGCTATTGAATCGTTTTCTGCTGCATCATCTTGGAACCAGTTGCAGACATACATGAAGGAAACATGTACATTTATGACTGTGAACTGTTTCTGTTTTGCTGTCTGAATGTTCAGTAAATTGTGTGCTGCTGCCAGTCTTGGCCAAGATTCTCTTGTAAGAAATATTTTTAATCACTGTGGGACAAATAAATAATGCTAATTATCTTATGATTCATTCCTGACTGCATGCATTATAAATCACATTGGGGAACCTGTGTTCCTCTGTGTGTGAGTTTGGGAGCTCTACATCACACAGCGACCCAGAATAGCAGACGTTCTGGATCAGCTCCACAAACAGCTCAGTCACTAGCAAAGCAAAGCAGCCTCCCAACCCAAAGAAGCAGCCTGAGACGCAGTTTGTCTGTCTTCTTACAGAAATTCCTCTGTGTGATCTGTCCCACTCCAGATCACCGGAGACGTCACATCCTAACCAGACATGGACTCTCAGCCCAGATCACCTCGTGATACAGTGAACTTTGTTCACCTCTCATCTCCTTCATCAGCAGCTATAAGCAAATCCTTTTTCCACAGAAATCTCAGTGGATTTCTGTTTAAGACTGGCTTCACTTCCCACATTTTAAAATCACTCAAGATTTAATTATTCCCAAAACCAATGCAGATTGGAAGCTGAGCTAATGGTGGGGAAAGGGTCTCATCTTACCAGTCAACAAGGTCAAGTCATTTCATGCAATCAGAAGAAAGGACTGACAGTGTCAACTTCACAGGGAGAACAGATGGGGGCGCTGCACACCTCAAAGGACAAAGAGGGCAGATTACCGCCTCACCTGGTGAGCTAAACCAGGTGAGCTAAACCAGGTGAGCTAAACCAGGTGAGCTAAACCAGGTGAGCTAAACCAGGGCTTGATGGAGGCCCCAGGAAACCCTGCGGCTCATGGCCGACGCGACATCTGACCCTATATGTGACCTCAGACATGACCTTCCCTCTGACCCTGCATGTATGAAGCCCCATCACCTCCTCAGCTGATCCTGAAGTGATGTACGTTCTCAGGAATTTGCGGTGCAATAGATTTCTGATGTCTTTCTCATTTTTGGTGGAAATTCCAATTTTAATGCCAAAACTTCTGTCTTTGAGATCATTTTAATGATGCAGAATAAACTTACACCCCTCCTGAGTCTCCTGTTGAGGATTTTGAAGGATGTTCTGAGAAGTTTTAGGTGTTTTGTCTGCTGGGCTCTGAAGCATGGAGGTCAAAGGAATGAATGCTTTACTAACATACATGTTGATTCTGGCAGTAATTCGTCTTTATGGATAAAGTATAAATAAATGTGTTACTATATAGCTTATTATGTTTAAAACATTCTTAATTAAGAATCAACGACTCAATACAATCTGCTGGGTTTACTTGACCTCACTGCTGCCTTTGATACAGTCGACCACGACATTTTAATATCGTGATTACAGCTTATTGTATGTATTGATGACACTGTTCTTAATTGGTTCAGGTCCAACCTGGAGGACAGAACATTTCCAGTAAATATTAGAGACTCTGAATCATCTACTGCTTCAATGTCATATGGTGTACCACAGGGCTCCGTTCTGGGCCCACTGCTTTTCTGTCTTTATTTACTGCCTGTGGGTTCTATCTTCAGCAAACATGGGATTTCATTTCATTGCCAGATTTATTTGCCCCTGAAGCAGAAAGATGTCCAGTCAATCAAACATCTCCTGGCATGTCTAGATGATGTTAAAGCTTGGTTGGCTTTGAACTTTTTACATTTTAACGAAAAGAAAACAGAGGTGATGGTGCTCAGACCCAGTGGCTCCTGTGAGTCCTCCTCTGTTGACCTTTGACCCTTGGAGGTGCATTTTAAACCAGTTATTTTAAACCAGTTTATTTTAAACCTGTTATTACAGATCTTGGTTTTAAGGTGGACAGTGATTTTAAATTGGACAGCCACATTAGAGCCGTGGTTAAGTCCAGTTTTTATCACTTAAGGCGATTGGCATCAGTAAAATCTTTTCTTTCCAGGCAGCATTTTGAAACAGTGATCCATGCTTTTATTTCGACTCGACTGGATTATTGTAACTCTCTATATCTGGGAGTCAGTCAGTCACTGCTCTCACGTCTGCAACTGCTTCAGAATGCGGCTGCAAGACTTTTGACAGGAACTGGAAAGAGAGAGCATGTGACCCTGTCTTGGCTTCACTTCACTGGCTGCCTGTTTATTTTAGGATCCGTTTTAAAATTTCTATGTTTGTTTTGAAATCGCTGCATGATCTTGCCCCGGCTTACCTCACTGAGCTTCTTCACCCTGACATACCTTATGGGTCTCTTGGAGGAACCGAGATCTAGAAGGAAGCTCAGAGGGGACAGAGCTTTCTCTGTCGGGGTCCTAAGTTATGGATGACCTGCAGGTCAGAGGCCCCTTCACTGTCCACTTTTAAAGCTCGTCTTAAAACCCATTTATTTCACTTGGCCTTCAACTCCAGTGAGATCTAGTTTCATATTGTAAGTTTGTTGTTTTAAACTGTATTTGTTTTTATCTATTTTATGTGCAGCACTTTGTTTCAGCTGTGGTTGTATTAAAGTGCTTTATAAATAAAGTTGGTATGGTAGAAAACTTTTAAATATAATTTCAATAGTAAGCTGAACTTGATGCATTGTCAGTTGTCAATGGACTTGATCTGGATGATTCATTTAAACTGACTAGATTTGTCTTCATAAACTGGATATTTTATCTGTGATTTTCTTTTTAAAGTTTTGAATGTACATTGAAACATAATTTGCTTGATGCATTATTTTATTCTCATGTTATTTCTGCTGAGAGGAAAAGGAGGAAGAGGAAGAGGAGGAGCTGATCTGATCCTGATCTCTAAAGAGACTCAAACTTCCTCCTTCAGTTCAGTTCAACTCTCCAACATCAACTCTGCTCATCATGGACTATTATGGTCTGTCTCTGCTCATCGCCTCTCTGCTAACAGGTCACAATGTCTCTGTTTTTCAAAAACACGTTTTCAAAGTTTAATAAATGTGAATTTATTTACAGAAACTGAAACTAACAGGTTTCTCTTCATCTAGGAGTCAGATGCCAACAACTCACCGCGCTTCATAATGAAGAGTTCGCTGTAGAAAAAAGAAAAGCTACTCTGTCCTACACTTACTCCAGCAAAGCTACTGGAAGTGATTATTTCTTCTGGTATCGACAATATCCTGGAAAACCTCCAGAGTTCCTGATTTCTCATTTAGGATCTGGAGCTGAACTCCAGGATCCGGTTCCTGGTTTCTCCTTCAACGTGAATGATGATAAAACCCAGATGGATCTGCTGATCTCCTCTGCTGCAGTGACAGACTCTGCTGTGTACTACTGCGCTCTGCAGCCCACAGTGACAGGAAACACCAGAACCCTGAACAAAAACCTGCAGTACTGCACAGCGGCCACTAGAGGGCCTCACTCCCTGTTAAACTACAAAATTAAGAATTTTTTTTAATCTGATGGACAAATAGAATAAAATAGGAACATGTTTATTATCCCAGGTGTTTATTACACCTGACTGCAGCTTACCAACATGCTGACAATATTTCAGTCGTTCATCATGAGTTAATTCCTGGGAGAACTCAGAGTCTCTCTCTGGACAAATATCGGACAGCCAATATATAAACCATGAGGCTGTTTGTGAACAAGCAGCTGATCACTTTTTAAATGATAACGAAGCTCAGCCATATGCTGAGCTGAGGATGCTGCCTGGACCCAATGAAGAGATGCAGAGACTGTAGCTCTTTGGGAAACTCTCCATTATAGCAGATTATCTCCATTGGATAATCTGCTGTTTTAGCACATGTGGGGGTTTTCAAGGGTGTGTGTGTGTGCGTGTGTGTGTGCTGGTTTATCTATCATTATGAGGACTTAATCTTGTCAAACAACTGACATTGTTGGACATTTATAGCTGTGAGGACATTTTGCCATGTCCCGACAATAAAAACATAATTTTTGAGTTAGGTGTTGGGATTAAGGTGGGAATTAAGTGGCTCAGGGAAATGTCAAGATCATAGAATTGATGGGAGTCAGTACAAGTGAATAAACGTGCACTGAAACAGGAGTGTGTTTGTGTGGGGGTGGAGTTCAACAAAGGCGGTGTTTACTCAGGGCTGCATGTACACTGGAGCCGCTGCTGGCTGTGAAGAGAACAATAGTCAGACTGAATGTTGAACATCAGCTGCTTTCTCCTGCTGATTTAAACCTTGTTGGACAGATGGAACATTGGCTGTGGATTATTCTGGCTGCTCTTTTCTCTGGTAAGATACAAAGATGTTTCCTCTACATGGAGTCTTTAAAGCTGCTGATTGTTCTCCTTTAATCAATCATCTTTATTGATCCGTCTCTTCCTCTGCATGTTCTTCCCAGAGTGTAAAGGAGACTCAGTGAAGCAGACAGGAGGAGAAGTTGCTGCTGCAGCAGGAGAATCACTGACTCTGGGATGTACTTATGAGACCAGTTTTACTCCCACATTGTTCTGGTATAAGCAAGAAGAAAACAGTTTCCCAAAGTACATGCTGAAGCAGCTGTCATCAACAAAAGATAAAGCTTCAGAGTTCAACAATAACAGATTTGATGCTGACCTCAACAGCACCATAAAATCCTTCAACCTGACAATCCAGGATCTCCATCTGTCAGACTCTGCTGTGTACTACTGCGCTCTGCAGCCCACAGTGACAGGAAACACCAGAACCCTGAACAAAAACCTGCAGTACTGCACAGCAGCCACTAGAGGGCCTCACTCCCTGTTAATCCACTAAAACCTGCAGTACTGCACAGCAGCCACTAGAGGGCCTCACTCCCTCTGTTCTTCCTGTTTCGGTGGGATTCAGTCTGAAACAGCGTCATGTTCATTTTAAGAAGCTTGTTCTGTGAAAAAAAAGAAAAAACTGTCAAAATTTATTTCCATAGCAACTTTCAAAATAACAGTTGATCAAAGTGCTTCAGAATTACATGAACAGTCAGAAGATAGCTCACAGAATAAAACAGATTTAAAAAAACTGAAGAATTTATTTTTCAAGAAGTTAAGATCTCTAAAATGTACGTATTTAGCTTCCCATCCTCAGTCAAATCCAGTCAAAAGAGAAAAGTTTATTATGGGACATTTTATATGATTCTCTGCTGGGATCTGAATCAAAATAACCGTAGATTAAAAGAACGTATGACATAAGAGAAAATCTAAACACATTGAATTTAGGTATGAAATAAAAGCTTTACACATTTAAAAATTGCAAGATTGTATAATTATTGCACAAATAGTCAAATAAATGATTTGTTATTACTGTCATAACAGACATGATGACAGTTCATTCAGAGCATTCATACACTGCACAGCCTCACATGTAATAAAGTCCAAGATTGGTGGACCTATGTAAAATTTGCACAATATGCAATAAACCATGTCAGCAAAAGCCAGAGGACACCATAAAAGTTTATATTCCACATTGTTTTGACTGATGGGGTCAAAGACACCCAGTAATAATTTTATAAATCATTTTTATAAAATATGACTATTGCAACTGATGGCATCAGATGAGTAACTGACAAACAATCAGTGATTACACCTGTCTGTTTTACTCCATGTCAGGATTACAAAATGCTGCTGCTTGTTTGTTCTTCGTGGTGTTGAGTTTGATCACCTGTTAGTTCATCGTTCAGAAGAGGAAAGAAAATCAGAGTTCTCATCTCATCTGTCCAAACAGAGCAGGAATACTGCAGAACCTCTAATGGAGAGGTTGATGGAGGAAACGCCCATGATGTTTGTTATAACATCTTTATTACATCAAGTTTGAGACGAGAACAGGAGCAGCTGTGGGGAACCACACAATCTAATCATGTCAGTTTTGTTTTTATGTCTGGTGCTGGTAAATATTATGTGCAGATTGAATTAATTGTGTCTTGTAACTAAATACTAATTAATGGGGTTTTTTCCAGTTAAAGGTAAAAGGTGAAGCTGTAACAATGAACCCAAACAAGCTGAATGGACAACATCAGATGAATCAAACCTTTTCTCCAGTGACATAAACCCACTGATGAAGGTTTTATATTGATCTCATGTGTGAATAACCAAATATAAACAAAACCCATTTAATAAAGAATATTACTTTAGATAAAATATATAGACTAATTATACAGGTGGATATTTCAAAACCTTTTCTTCTTTTATGATTTTTGATTTGCAGTGAAATAAGTCATAAAATTAGAATGTTACATCAGAAGAATAAAAATATTTTTTTGTAGTTGATCAACTACTTCTGAAATGTAGTTTTAGTGAACCATGCTAATGCCAGATCAATTATCAATAATATGATAATTTATTGAATGTAATGTAAATACCTGAATTGATTATCAACTTGTAAACTATTCAAAACCTTTAATTAAACGTCTAAAGGGTCTGATGTCGATCCAGAGCATGACTGATGCTAAATGCACCAAGGCAGCCAAAGTTTTGAAATCAGTGAACATTTTATTTGATTTTGGTTACCTCTGAATTATTTTAAATTATTTGAAAATCCCAGATTAATTGACACAACAATAACTCAAAGATGCAAAACCACAGTGAAAAACAGAGTAAAAGTTGAACCTCAGTGACTCTGCAGGGGATATGAAGCTGATCTGAGCTGAACTGGGGAAGATGGGAGGTCCAGGCTGCTCTGCATCCCTGCTCTGCAGAAGTGAGGCAGAGCAGGGATGTGTTGAATAAAACTTGCCAGTAGGGGGAGTACCACAGGGCTCCTGTCAGCACATGAAGACCGAGCACAGAGCTGCCAGCTCTGTTTCTGCTCTCTCCTCAGACATGCCTCCTCTGTTGTTCTTGGTGCTGCTGGCTGTTGTCAGCCTCGGTAAGAACTCAGCTATCTTCATCTAACATCAGAGCAGATTGCTGTTGAGCTGACACTGATCCTGTTGTTGGTATTTTACAGAATGCAGAGCACAGACCGACAGCGTGCTGCAACCAGAGAGAGACTTGATGGCTACTGAAGGAGGCAACGCAACTCTGCAATGTCTCTATGACACAAGTGGATCCAACCATTACCTCTGGTACAGACTGGAGGGAGGCAGCAGTCCCACATTCATCCTGAGCCGCTTTAAGATTGGCGATGGGAAAACAACGGAGAAGAGATTTTCCTCCAGCCTGGATGCCACTGCTAGATCAGTTCCTCTGACGATCCAGGATCTTCGTCCGTCAGACTCTGCTGTGTACTACTGCGCTGTGCAGCCCACAGTGACAGGAAACACCAGAACCCTGAACAAAAACCTGCAGAACTCCACAGCAGCCACTAGAGGGCCTCACTCCCTGTTTGGTTGAACTCAGTCTGAAGCAGACCTCTGTGTGTTTGGTTCATCAGTTTGAAATGAAAATATGAAAACCAGGAAGTGAGTTTGGTGAATCATTAAAGTAAAAAGACATTTAAAAAGAATTAACAAAAAATAATTTGACTTGAAATCTGATCAACTACTTCTGAAAAATATGACCTTCATATGATAAAATATCATCCATCGTCTTCTATGTAGTCTTTCTGCTGTCGCTTTAATATTGAGGGATGAAAAACAAACCGCTCATCCTTGCCTTCCTTGGCCTTTGGTCAGATGGCCTGTTCAAATCACCTGACTTGAGGGTGTCATGGTGGACAGTCTGGCCCCGACATGGCGGATCAAAGTTCCTGGCCTGAAGGAGCAGAAAAGATTCAGACACAATATTAATCTGCTTTATTGAACAGAAGAGTCAACAGAAGCAAAACTCACATGCCCGATGACAGTCCAGGAAGCCAGGCTCTCCCCGTCACCATCGCCAGCTGCAGGTATTTATTCAGGTTCTGGACTCAGCCGTGCTGTGACGGCCCGTCACAGCACGGCTGGACCCGGTTTGGCTCCATGGACCCTGAACCCGGTTTGGCTCCATGGACCCTAAACCGTCTTCAGGGCCCGTCCATGAAGACCTGCGCCCAGGGATGTCAAAGTCAAAAACACAAAGGGCCAAAACAACTTTTGCTGCAAGCCGAGGACCGGACTGGTTCAATGTTTATTAAAACAGATTGAATTATTGTACATAAACTATTGAAGCAGGACCTGACACAGTGTAAATTATTGAATAATTAAATGAATAAAGCGATATTTTGTAATGGCTTTGTCAGTAACCTCAAGGGAAAACATTTTCAACAGGCAAAAAGCAAAAAATTAAATATGTTTCTTAATATCAAGATAAATACATAAATAAAATGCATTATAAACTGAAAATGCATTATTGTGCTTGTCGTGGAAAAAAATCATTTGTAAGCATTGATGATTAATGAAAATATAACTCACACACGACACTTCAACATTTAGACACAATATTGGCTCCTAATATGTTAGTAATTATAATGTATGAATAACAGCAAAGACAACAGATGGATAATGTTCTTGGTTTGATCTGCTTAAAAACTTTACTAAGTAAAATTAAGGCTTAATGGAAGGACACAAGGAACAAGGAAGAAGAATCTATTGAGCCAAAGTTTGTTGAACTGAGCAGCTGAAGCTGAGAGGAAGAGGAGGAGGAGGAGGAGGAGGAGGAGGAGGAGGAGGAGGATGAAGAGGATGAAGAGGAGGAGGAGGAGGAGGAGGAAGAGGAGGAGGAGGAGGAGGAGGAGGAGGAGGAGGATGAAGAGGAGGAGCTGGTCTGTTCCTGAACTCTAAAGAGACTCAAACTTCCTCCTTCAGCTCAACTCTCCAACATTAACTCTGCTCAACATGCTGTCTCTGCTCACATCTGGATTCACTCTGCTGGTTCTGATCACTGGATCAGGTTGGTTGGAGTCTTTCAGAGAATAATCTCATCCTTGTTGTTCTTCACTTACATCAGTTCTTTCTTCCTTCAGGTGTAAACTGCCAACAACTCACTGCAGCAAAGACTGAGGAGTTCAGTTCAGAGGGCAGCTCTGTTACTCTGACCTGCAGTTACTCCAACAAGATAGCTCTTGGTGATGATTTCTTTTGGTATCAACAAAATCCTGGAAAACCTCCAGAGTTCATCTACTACATCTCAGGGCTCAACAGCTCAAGATCAGCAGAGTCTCTGAAATCATCAACAAGATTCTCCACTTACCTGAGAGGAGAGAAGCACCTGGATCTGCTGATCTCCTCTGCTGCAGTGACAGACTCTGCTGTGTACTACTGCGCTGTGAGGCCCACAGTGACAGGAAACACCAGAACCCTGAACAAAAACCTGCAGTACTGCACAGCAGCCACTAGAGGGCCTCACTCCCTGTTTATCCACTAAAACCTGCAGTACTGCACAGCAGCCACTAGAGGGCCTCACTCCATGTTAAACCACTAAAACCTGCAGTACTGCACAGCAGCCACTAGAGGGCCTCACTCCCACTGGTTGTTGAGTCGTTGGACTGAAGACAAAGACAACAGAGACATGAAGCAGCAAAGATCAGAGACGGAGCTGCTGAGGAAGCAGAAACTCTCTGATTGGTTGAGTTGAAGTGGCCCCGCCCACTGACCTTCAGCTCCTCCATCATTTGTTCTTCCTTCATTGTTGATCTGCTGTGTGGCTCTCAGGACTCCAGACATGTTGCTCTCCCTCCTGTTGCTTCTGTCTCTCAGTAGAGGTCAGTTTAAGGTCAGGGATTCTGGTTCAGTCCAGCAGGAGACAACATGTGGGTCTGCTGTCCTGCACTGGGCCAGACGTCGTTCTGACCTTCAGGCTCCTGTTTGTCCTCTAGAAACAACATGGTTCCTGATCCTGGATCAGCAGCATCGTCTTCCTCCAGTGAGCTGAGCATCAGAGAGCTGACCCCGGCAGACGCGGCTCTCTGCTACTGCGCTCTGGAAACACAGTGATACAAAGTGGAGAAGAGGCTGTACAAAAACCTGAACACAGATATCTGACTCCTCTTCAAAGAGGAGGGAAGTGGTATTCACAGCTCAGCGTCATATCAGATGGATTCTGATCATCCTGCTTGATCAGAGTCGCTGTGGTTGCAGCTGCTAATCACTGACAGGCAGAATAAAGACGCCAGTAGAAATGCTACTTCCTCATTCAGTCCAGTTAGATTTCTCTTTCTGTAGACTTTTCTCCTCATCTTCAGACTCCTGCACTTGTTGGGTCAGAGTCTGAGAATCATCTAAATGAATGTTTCAGTAAGACAGAGAGGAAAACATGTTTCAGACACTATAAACATTTCCTAGTTGGCTCATCTGTTTGTTATTTTCAAACAATTTCCATTTCCAGACATTAGAAACCATTTTTAAAGAGAGCACAGCTAAAACCTTTTAACCTTCACTTCCTGAAACCAGAGAACTGCTAAATATTTTCCAGTCATATTTGACTCATTTGCCCCATGAAAGTGAAGGGAGTTTCTGGCACCGACTCTGAGTTCATGACTAAAGCATTGCAGGGAAACATTGTTTGGTGAAACCCAACAGCATCGCTAGTCCAGAGACGGAACCACCTGAACTCCAATTTACACAACTTACAAACCAACGTTTAAGGAAGAGACATTCTGTCAACTCAACACAGACAGGTTTCCATGCTTACCACAGTACTGAGGCTGGCCTAGTCAAAGTGTTCAATGACATGAACACAGACTGTGGAAGAACCACAGTGCTGGTTCTGGTTCTGTTGGACCTCACTATGGCAAGATGGCGCCGGTGTGTATGGCTGCTCGTCTGTCATTCTTACGTTTGACTTGTATCATCTACGGAACTGAATCTCTGCTGGCGTATGATCGCAACACACTGCTAGACCTCCAACCTTTGGTCCAGGATATGGTGTTATTTGATGTTGGTGACCAACAATCCTCGCCCCCCTTCTGTCGGAGATTCCGAGTCACCTGCTTCGGGTACCAGCGCTGCTTACACGGCGGAGACGTTATCGTTGTCGCGGTAGACGAAGCGGCCGGCTGGTGAAGCTGAAGTTCTTTCTGACGCACTGTCCTTGTTTTACCCGATCATCACGTGGATTATTTCTAGGCTCTCGATGCCTCCGCGTTTTTTGGATCCTGTTGATGTCTGTTTGGTGCCTGTGGCTGGAGTTGAAGCCCCTGCACCGCCGCCATTGCCCCTATATTTGCCGGCGGTGTCTTCAAAACCTGAGACCGCTGTGCCAGGTCTCCCAACCTGTTGAAGCCCATACTCCAGTTCCTGTCAGGTTTGGCCTAATAAACAGCAGGTCGCTTATGAACAAAACTTTTATTCTTCGGGACTTTTTCATTCATCAAAATCTGGATTTCCTGTGTGTGACTGAGACGTGGCTGAGTGTTGGTGAGTCCAGTGCTCTGTCTGAGCTTCTACCAGCGAACTGTTCTTATTTTAATTCACCTTCAGGGAGAGGAGGAGGCACAGCGACTGTTTCCAAACAGGACTATAAATGTAAGCAGTTTTCTACAGACGCCATTCCCCAGCTTTGAGTTCACGTCATTTGAGATGAGACACGTAAAGCCTGTCTTCTGTGCTGTGGTTTACCGGCCCCCCAAATATAATAAGGATTTTATTAGCGACTTTTCAGCTGGGATTATAACTAACTATGATCATGTTCTTATTGTTGGAGATCTCAATATACATGTGTGCTGTCCTGATAAGCCTCTGGTAAAGGACTTTTTAAACCTTCTGGACTCCTTTAACCTGGTACAGGCCGTATCTGGCCCGACACATGAGCGCGGACACACACTGGACCTGGTTATGTCCTGCGGTCTGCCTGTGGATCACCTGGAAATCTGTGACTCTGTGTTCTCAGATCACCTGCCTGTTTTATTCAGGGTTAGTTTGACACCTACTGCAGTTAAAACCCGTGCTGCCGCTCGGCGTTATCGGATTATTAACCCCTCCACGGCCACTCAGTTCTCTACTGCTTTTCTTCAACTTCATGGATCATCTGACTTCCTCCACTTTGATACTGAAGAGCTCTGGTCCTGGTTCTGTTCCTCCTGTCAAACAATCCTGGACTCGGTTGCTCCATTAAAAACTAGGCAACCAAAGATTAACCCTGAGCCTTGGTTTAATGACAGAACTCGTGCTGTAAGGAAGGAATGTTGCCGTGTTGAACGCAGGTGGAAGAAGGATAAACTGCAGGTTACTTTTCAAATTTTAACAGACTGTTGGCGACTCTAGCAGAGCACAGTTACAGAGGCAAAAAGGGAATATTTGGCTAATATTATCTCCTCAGACAGACATAACCCACGTGTCTTATTCAACACCATTGACTCTACTCCACAGAATGTCTGTTTGGAAGCTTCTCCTGACATGTGTGAGAATTTTCTGTGTTTCTTTATTGAGAAGGTTGGTAGTGCCAGGGCTCTTACCATAGCTCCTGACTCTGACCCCTCTGTGTCGCTCCCTCGCTCCGTTTCGGTCCCTCGCTCCGTTTCGGTCCCTCGCTCCGTTTCCGTCCCTCGCTCCGTTTCGGTCCCTCGCTCCGTTTCGCTCCCTCGCTCCGTTTCGCTCCCTCGCTCCGTTTCCGTCCCTCGCTCCGTTTCGGTCCCTCGCTCCGTTTCGGTCCCTCGCTCCTTTTCGGTCCCTCGCTCCGTTTCGGTCCCTCGCTCCGTTTCGGTCCCTCGCTCCGTTTCGGTCCCTCGCTCCGTTTCGGTCCCTCGCTCCGTTTCCGTCCCTCGCTCCGTTTCGGTCCCTCGCTCCGTTTCGGTCCTCGCTCCGTTTCGGTCCCTCGCTCCTTTTCGGTCCCTCGCTCCGTTTCGGTCCCTCGCTCCGTTTCGGTCCCTCGCTCCTTTTCGGTCCCTCGCTCCGTTTCGGTCCCTCGCTCCGTTTCGGTCCCTCGGTCCCTCGCTCCGTTTTGGTCCCTCGCTCTGCTGCTTTCACTCAGTTTGAGCCTGACTGTCTCACGTTTAGAGGATGTGGTTGGCCATATTCAGCCAGCAGGTTCCCCCCGTGATCCTGTCCCTCCACGACTTTTTAAAGATATTTTATCTAGCATAGTGCAGCCTGTTTGTGCAATTATAAATAGCAGTCTGTCCTCAGGTGTGGTCCCTGCTAGTTTTAAACATGCAGTAGTGCAGCCACTGCTTAAAAAACCTGACATTGATCCTTCTGTTCTGGCAAATTATCGGCCCATCTCGAAGCTGCCTTTTCTTTCTAAGGTTTTAGAAACAATTGTATACCATCAGCTGAAACAGTTTTTAGATGAAGATGGTATTCTGGAGGTTTTCCAATCAGGTTTTAAAACTCTTCATAGCACAGAATCTGCTTTAATAAGAGTTTTTAATGACATCCTTTCAGCATGTGATTCTGGTAATCATGTTCTGATTTTACTTGACCAAACTGCTGCCTTTAATACAGCCGACCACGACATTTTAATATCGTGATTACAGCTTATTGTAGGTATTGATGACACTGTTCTTAATTGGTTCAGGTCCAACCTGGAGGACAGAACATTTTCAGTAAATATTAGAGACTCTGAATCATCTACTGCTTCAATGTCATATGGTGTACCACAGGGCTCCGTTCTGGGCCCACTGCTTTTCTGTCTTTATTTACTGCCTGTGGGTTCTATCTTCAGCAAACATGGGATTTCATTTCATTGCCAGATTTATTTGCCCCTGAAGCAGAAAGATGTCCAGTCAATCAAACATCTCCTGGCATGTCTAGATGATGTTAAAGCTTGGTTGGCTTTGAACTTTTTACATTTTAACGAAAAGAATACAGAGGTGATGGTGTTCGGACCCAGTGGCTCCTGTGAGTCCTCCTCTGTTGACCTTTGACCCTTGGAGGTGCATTTTAAACCAGTTTATTTTAAACCAGTTTATTTTAAACCTGTTATTACAGATCTTGGTTTTAAGGTGGACAGTGATTTTAAATTGGACAGCCACATTAGAGCTGTGGTTAAGTCCAGTTTTTATCACTTAAGGCGATTGGCATCAGTAAAATCTTTTCTTTCCAGGCAGCATTTTGAAACAGTGATCCATGCTTTTATTTTGACTCGACTGGATTATTGTAACTCTCTATATCTGGGAGTCAGTCAGTCACTGCTCTCACGTCTGCAACTGCTTCAGAATGCGGCTGCAAGACTTTTGACAGGAACTGGAAAGAGAGAGCATGTGACCCTGTCTTGGCTTCACTTCACTGGCTGCCTGTTTATTTTAGGATCCGTTTTAAAATTTCTATGTTTGTTTTGAAATCGCTGCATGATCTTGC